TCTGATTAGGAGCAAAGCTGCACATATTTTCATATGGTTAAGAGCCATTTGCCTTTCTTTTTTTAGGGAACAGTCTGTTCATTTCCCTAGTCCATTTATCTACCAAGTTATAGGCTTTTTCTTCTCTATTTTTAGACACTCTTTATATATTTGACATGTTAACCCTTTGTGATAAAAGTTGCAAATTTCTTCCCATGTGTCATTATTTTTACATTGCTTAGAGGTTTTTTTTTAACTTGAAAAAGGTTTTATTTTTTAATACAATAAAATTTAGCTAGATTTTTACTTAATGTTTCTGGACTTGGTTAAATAGTTGAGACACTTTCCTTCATCCCAGTTATTGGAGGAAAATACCCTTCTCTTCGAATATGTATAGCTTCATTCATTTCACATTTAGATCTCTGAGCCTTTGGAATTTATCCTGGTGTACAATGTGAGAAATGGATCCAATTTTATCTTTTTCCATATGGCTATCCACTTATCCCAACACCACTTATAATTTATAAGTCCATCTTTTGCCACCAATTTGAAATGCCATCTTTATTATGTATTAAATTTCCATATGCAATTAGGTTTATGTCTGGATTTTTCTAGTCATTGATCCATTCATGTGCCTATACAAATCTTTAATTATAGAGACTTCAGAACATATTTTTGTATCTAGACAAGCCAGACTTTATTCTCATTTCTCTTCTTTAACAAGGATGTCCTGACTACTCCAGTTTATTTTTCCTCCTAAATGATATTTTGACAATTACATTAATTGTTTAATTTTCAATTAAATTTATAAGTTAACTAAGAGAGAATTGACTCCTGTCTATCCAAGAAACTGATACGTCTTTCCATTTCTTCAAATCTCCTCTTTATCCTTTAGAGGTATTTTTAGTTTTCTTCATGTAGTTTTTGCATAATTTTTGTTTTTTTAATGTATCTAAGTTGATCATTATTACTATCTTAAATATATTTATCATGTATCTTCTAACTACTTTTAGTTTGCATGTGTGAAGACTGTCTATGTTGATTTCTTCCCTATCTGCTTCTTTACTGAATCCTCTTATTTCCTGTGGCGCTTTTGCTGTTGAGTCTCTTGGACTTTCCAGTTATATACTCATGTCTTCCGCTACTAGAGATATTTTTTTGCTCTTCCCTCTTATGTTTTATGTAATGGCAGATGTTATGCTATTTGTTTTTTTTTTTTTTTACTAAACATTATATTATGAGCACTTGCAATACCATTAAGCGGTCTTAAAGGCCCATTTTAATGGTTGCACATATTTTATTATATGGATGTGCCATCATTTAGTTAGCTATTTTCAACTCGAAATCCAATTTTTCTCATTTTTATTTTTGTAGATCATGTCACAGTAAATATGTTTTGTTTGTATATTTGTGCACATCTCTGATTATGTCCTTAGTGTAAATTCCTACAAGTAGAATCAGTAGGTCACACAGCCTGCCCAGTTTTAAAGCTTTTTAAATGTGTAATTGACAAAATGCCCTTCAGGAAAAGACAAACCAGTATACTGTCACATCAGCAAGTGTGTCTCTCTTCACGGTGCCCTCAGGCGTTTAAACTTACGGTAACTCACCAGGTAAAGAATATCAATGGAGAGTCCGCCTAGCTACATCTATGAAATGTTTTATTAGAGAAGAAGAGTGTGAGGGGAAAGGACCAGTATCTTCTTACTCACATGGAGGCAATGGCAATATTCTTTCTTGGCACACAACTATTTCTCTAGCTCGATGGTGCCATCTCTATGTGGTGGGCATCCAGGGGTGGCTGGCTCCTCCCAAGTCTTTCTGGATGTGTTAGATTCTCTGGAAGACCTTGCAGAAGCCCCTCCTCACACTTCATTCTGCAGGAGAGCCGGCTCTGTCTTCTCAATTCCTGCCACTGGATGACCTCACCCGTTAGGCAAACTTCTTGATCAAATCAACACTAGCTACCGTCTCCAGTGCAAGTCGCCCACTAGAAACTCGAGCATCCTTGGGGATACCAGTTGGGGCAGTTCAGGCTGCTTCGGTCACCTCATCTTGCGACTGCCTGTAGACACAGAAGCAGATCAGAAAGTCTGTCTGCTCTTAAAGCAGAGAGTTCCAGGCCGGGAAGTAAACCCCAGTCTGTACCTGTTAGCATCTACAAGTTGTATGGGTGAATCTCTGTTAAGCTCTTCTGCAATCCAGGATGAGCAGAATCGTGGGAGACAGGGCAAGCTCCTTCCTTGCCCAAGGGAGAGATAGAGCAACCTCTGAGGAGGAACACTGCCGCCCCACCTCCGCATGACCACTCCCAGCTTTGCTTCCTGCTCCCTCCTGCCCCCTTCCTGCCCTCTGCTTACATAAGGCTGCTGTGGAGCTGGGGTCCGGCTGTTCTTTCCCTTGTTAACACCTATTGTTTTCGGCTGGGGGCCTGGGGCTGATCCCATGGCAAAAGTCGAAGCCCCACTCCACGTTCTGGTATGCTAATTTTTATTTGTACTTCCTTGCTTAGCAGTGAGATTGGACATGTTTCTTGTGTTTCTTAATAGTCTTATTTCTCTTTTTATGAACTGCCTGTTGGTGGCTTTTTTCTTATTCTTCTGTGTCTTCTCTTGGTCTGTTGAAGCTTTCTCCTTGGGAAGTAGTCTGATCAGAGTTCTCTAGCTTACACCACATCAGAACCCCACTGGTTCTGAATGTAACACAACTGCTTTCCAGTTGCAGTTTCTGCCTTTAGGGTGTCAGTATTAATATTCAAGACACAATGAGCTAAGAAACAGGATACACAGATCCACTATTTGATATTCATCAGCTGGTTTATAAATTTATGCTAAATATGCACAGTGGTATACCTATTTACATGTATGCATGAATACCTCTTATATAAAGTTATGACATGATGTTCAAAATCCGTTTTGCCTCCCATTTAATTTTCCTATAACCTCTCGGTCATTCATTCAACCTAACAACAGCCATCTTAATCAGCGAATCAATTTATAACCCTACCAGGTGGCAAAAGGCTTCTCCAAGCGACCTCTTGGGGATCCCTTCTGGCTATCTTCTGGAAAATAGGAGATTAAAAACATGTGTGTTCCCACAATGCTGCATTCTGAAGCTGTTTCATCTCCTCATCCTGCCCCCATGTAAGTTATGTAAGACTATTGAAATCAACAAAGAACAATTCATGCCTTGACTGGGATTACTGTTGTTGTTTTTAAGGGCAGACCTAAAACTGGAAAAGCAACTGAAATGCAAGCAGTTCCTACATCCTGTCAAGCTCAGAGAAAATTCACTTCTGCACAGGATACAAGTTGATAAGAATTCTTGGTATTTCGTGAGTCTGTTCACTGTCTAGGATGGAAATAAAATGGACTTAATTTAATATTCTAAAATCTCCAGCCATCAGAGCTGAAGCCTGGGAAGCTGTACCTGAAACATGGGTCGCACTAGGCGAATGCCCCCAGAGGTCTGGAAGGGCGAGTTGCCTGGCATCTGGATGTTACCATGGGGATTGCTATAGTAACAATTCTATTCACCCTTATTTATTAGGTTATTCTGTTGTGGAACCCAAAGGTAAACCAAGCATCCAAAGAAACAATGGTTTCAAAGAAATTTTTTTGCTGTTCCTGCAGCCCAGGCCAAATGCTTCGATGAAAGGAAAGGACAACGTTGACAAATAATTTAATACAATTGAAGGAATGAGATTCCTCCAGGTTTCCTCTGAGGCTGGCAAAACAACAGCTGATCTATGTCATAACACAGCGTCGAATTTGAGAATTTACCAGTCCTGGTACTAAACCCTCTGAGACAACAACAATGGTGCCCCCCACACTCCCACACCTACCCTCCCTCTCTTTTAGTTTCACTACATAAGAAAAGAGCTTTCCTTTTTTTTTCTATAAAAAGAAGGGGGGGGGTGGAATGAAGCTGATCAGAAAAATAGCCTCATCTTGGAGGACTTAAAGGTTTTAAATGCAGCATCCTTCCTACCAGGGACTCAGCAGGCCTAGTCTTCACTGGAAACAATAAGCCAGTTAGAACTGGGAGGGGAAGGGGGTGGGGGGAGGGGGGGAGGGGGGAGGAGGAAGAATGCTCTTGAGTGATGGATATTTTTGACTCTGCGGGTCTTCTTTGCTACACGTGGGCTTTCTCTAGTTGTGAAGAGCAGGGCTCCTCTCTAGTTCTGGCACGAGGACTTCTCCCAGGGGCGGCTCCTCTTCTTGTAGACCACGGGCTCGAGAGCACAGGCTCAATAGCCGTGGCACACGGGCTCAATTGCTCCACGACATCTGGGGTCTTCCCGGACCAGGGACTGAACCACTGTCCCTGCACTGTAAGTTGGACTCTTAACCACTGGACCACCACAGGAGCCCTGGGAGCAGTCTCGAGGTAGAATTTTCTGCCCTCCCTCCCCTCCTCAGATCCTTTCTTCTTGGTCCAATGGGGATCTCTGCCAAGGCGGGTGAATGACCCTAGAAAATATGCATAGACTTTCTTGAAAGCCACAAGGGGGAACTGAGAGGAAGCATGTGTTCTGTGGTCTGTCCTACCATAACAGAAGACTGCAGTGAAAGTGCCTTGTGGGGTGAGGTTATATAAAGGAGAGAAAAGGAAAATAGAGGAGCGAGGAAAGGCAACCTAGAAAAGCCAACCCGCGTTCATAGGAGAGAATGAATCCTGAGAAAAAATTCAAGCAAGTAACTGTTCAGCTTGACCCCACGCCCCCTTTCTAAGGGGGAGGGTCCACTGTTTTTATGCTTGTCATCACTATGATTCAATCAACCAGCTGACTGTTTTGGTGTAGTGAAGTCAAGGCTTGGGAATAGAGATAGTCACCAAAATAAACATGGAGTCCAAGTTGGTCTCAAAATGGATTTCAGGAAACAGGAAGAGCAAGCAGTGCCCTGAGTCTTTCACCCAGGCTAATTCAGCTAATTCACGCATCAGCCCTCAGAAGGAGTTCTTATCAGCAGCCTCATTTCCAAGAGGGAAAACTAAGACAGAGACCATAAGTGACTGACCTACAACAAACATGCTGTAAAGAGAAGAACCAGGTTTCCAACCCAAGCAGCTGATTTCAAGGCCTGCATTCTGATCCACGACCATGTGCTCTTCCTCCAAGGAGCTCCTGAAAAACAGAAGAAGCAAATTCCAAAGTTGCTTTCCAATGACTTGGAGGAAGGGCCGCAAGAAGGAGAGCAGAGATGTGGATAATGATCATGTGGACGGACAGACGCAGACAGCCTCCCAGGGACTGGAAAGCCAGCCAGGCAGAACACCTTGAACCTCAGACAAGGAAAAACACCTTTAGGAAGTTCTAACACGCGATGAGATCTAAACTTACTTTCTCCTAACATCAAAGTAAATCCCCTGGGTTTGGCTTGTAAACCTTGTTTATAGGAACAGAACAAGACAGTATTCCCTTTCTTGCCTCCTTCATAGACTGGAAAAGTCAAGTTCTATAGAAGGAAAGAATCAAGCATTTGGATCTTAAATGACCACCATCATAACAAGTGTGAACAGTCTAGAAATCTCCTCCTGCAAGTTAGGAAGAGAAGCACATTTAAAATCACACATGTAGGGATTCCTCTGGTGGCCCAGTGGTTGGGATTTCACCTTCCAAGCAGGAGGTGGCAGGTTCAATCCCTGGTCAGGGGGCACTAAGGTCCTACATGACTTGTGGCCAAAAGACCATGGCATAGAATAGAAACAATGCTGTGCAATAGAGATTTTAAAAATTATCCACATTAAAAAAAAAAAAACCAACTCACATGCAAATTCCTGGCACCTTCAGAGACAAACAGAAAAACATGTAAGACTCTCAGCTATCTAACATACCCGAGTAAGAAACAGCTCCTTGCCTCATGTTTAGCAAGCACTCCATTATTTTATCTGAACCATTTGGGTATATTTGGTCTTTGAAAGTATCAAGGCTTTCTCCTCCAATGACTTAAAGGCTAGGGTTTACAGTTCTCATGGCTAGGGGCCTTAAGGGGAAGGGATGGGAGGAACAAATGGACATCCAAAAACATCCAAGTAAGGGTGGCGAGTGCTTGCGTGTGTGCACGTGGATGTACGCGTGTGTGTACACACGTGGGCAGTGGCAGCTGCTGCTGAGGGAGGCATAGCCTCCCTTGACTATAATTAAGCATCCTCCAGGCTGGGGTGCTCACTCACGAGGCACGTCGCCCTGGCTCTCAGAGCTCTACTAGCCATGCGGAGTCCTGCCTGCCTCCGACAGCCCAGCTCTCCTCCCCACGTGGCCGGGGCCTGGGAAGCCCCACGTCATGCAAAGTAGGAAGGGACCGATCTCCAAGGATGCGTTCACGTGGAAAAAGACTATTGCACTTGGGAAGGCTCTAGAAGCCACATATCCAAATGCCTGGGGGTGGAACATCCCAGGAAAAGCAAAAGGCCAGGAGGAGGAGGACGACCACAGAGAATTAAACTTGCCCCAGAGCCTTATGTTTTATAACGTGCAAACACGACGCCAGCTCTACTTTGCCACCGCATAGTAAATACAAGATTACTAGGCAATTATATGTAAATGTTACAGAGCCTCCGAAAAGAATGGCCATGTTCAGGGCAGTTTCTCAATCCCTTGATAACAGTATAGTTTAATGGGTAGAAACAACTATATCATTTATTCCTCTTACATAAAAGGCTGCCAACCATGTAAGTACATGATCAATAACAGGGATTTCCACTGGGCGGGTGTGCGGTTGTCCCCAGAGTAGCAGCTTCATGAGAAGTAATAAGAAGTAAAATGAGAAGCACACACACACAAAAAAAGCATGAAAACGAAGTGCTTCAGCAGAACTAGGACCCCAAAGGCTTCTCAATGCATTTATTTTTATGGTGTACAAGGAACAACAGTGAGCTAAATCTGGCACTTTTAAGGGATTTGTAAATCAGCTGTAGAACGTTAGCCTGGATTGGATTTTTCCATTCGGATCTGATGGAAACAGGGATGGGAGATGTAGGGGGGTTTGGGTGCAGATGGAGAGAGTGAGGACCCTGGAGATGAGAACATTTGTATTTCGATTTCTGTTCATTTTTCATGTACCTGAGTATTATTGGGAACAGGTCTGGGCTCTCTGCAAGTATTCATTTCACTGAAAAAGATATTCCCTGGGCAGCCATTATGTATCATGAACAGCATATCTTAAATTAATTCAATTGTTGATTGCTCTTCTGAAAAATGAAAGCAGAGCCACTAATGGGAGGTATGATCACTGGGGTCTTTGGGGGCCAAAGAAGCAGAGGATAGCAAGGTGACTTGCTTGCTGACCGGCATCACTTCCTTCTAGAGAGGCACACAACCCCTGCGGGACCATTAGTCTGCACTGACGCCCTGCTGCATGAACGGATAGCCTTCCCTCCTTGATAATTGCCAGCCATCACTAGGTCTTCCTATGCTCCAGGCACCGTGCTGGCCATTTTACTTGTTAAATCATCCTGATCATCCCAGAAGGCATGTAACATCATTATTCCAGATTATGACAAAGACAGATCTGGCGTTTTGTGAAGTTACGTTGTGTGGTCAAGATAACAGTCCTTTAGTGGAAAGTCTGAGATTTATTGCTATTGTTCAGTCACTGAGTCATGTCCACACCAGGTTTCCTTGTCCTTCACCATCTCCCGGAGTTTGCTAAAACTCAGGTCCATTGAGTAGGTGGTGCCATCCAACCATCTGTCGCCCCCTTCTCCTCTTGCCCTTAGTCTTTCCAGCATCACAGTTTTCACTCTTAACCACTACTGCGTCTCTTCTTATCCAGTCCAATGACTGATCCCATGTACGTCAACGGAGGACAAGAGGGACCATAACATACATGGGACCACCTGGGGCTGTCCAAGTGCAGTGTTTGTTATCTCACATTTGTGAGTTTACTTAAATGTTTAAAATAGCTTGGGGAGAATGCATTATCCCTACTGTATAGAAAAGGAAACAAAAGCTCAGAGAGGCTGAGTCTCACATCTAGGAAATGGTTCTAAGCCAGCTTCAGCTTGATTGCTGACTTCTCCTATTTTTTTAAAATGCTTTTTAATGTAGACCAATCTTAAAGTCCTTATTGAATTTGTTAGTATTGCTTCAGTTTTGGGTTTTGGTTTTTCAGCTGTGAGGCATGTGGGATTTTAGCTCCCTGACCAGGGATTGAACTCAAACTCCCTGCAGTGGAAGGTGAAGTCTTAACCACTGGACCACTAGGGAAGTCCCTGACTGCTTCTATTTCTGCTGTCACAGCTGCCTCTTACACGCCAGCTCAGCTAACCATCCAAGGCTAATTTGCCAGAACACGGGTTTGCAATAAAGAAAATGAAAATTTGCCTTTTTGACTTGTGTTGTGGGATGTCAGTGAGACACCAGACATTTCACAGCGCTTAATGGAGAGGGTCAGTATGCCTCTGTTCTGGGTCTGGTCCTCCCAGCGGGCCCATGTCTGCACTGGTGCTCATAAAGAGCATCTTTGCTCTTAATATCCGCCCTGTCCTCCCAATGGTCCAAATTCTATTCACATGTCAAGACTCAGTTCAAGTTTGCCCTGCTCCACGAAGCTTCCCAGGGTTGCTCTGCCCATGGTCCCCATAGAAATCCCATCACTCCCCTGATCTGAAGCACATAGACAAGCAGTCTATCGTCTGTTACCAGGCTCTGGTTTAAGATTCCCGACTCCTCAAAGGTTCCAGGATCTACTCCATATACTCTTAAATATCCTATGTAATTCCTGTGATGAAACTGATTCCCACATGAACACCTGTTGAGCTGGGCTTGAGTGAGTTTGGCCTCCTCCGGGCCCTGAACATACAGGTATGGAAAAAAACAAGAAGAAGAAAAAGAAGTTGATTATCAGAGTAAGTTCAGAAGAAACTAACGGAGCTGCAAAGAATAACATAGAGGTTTGGTGGGGGAAACAGGGTCAGAGAGGGTGCCTGGACAGAGGACCAATCTGCATTTCTTTAGCTCACTAGTTCTCCATCTGCATGTACATCAGAGTCACCTGCAAGGCCTCCTAAAACATACCACTGCCTGTCCTCTGCTTCACCAGCCTTTCTGATTCAGGAGGCCTGAAAATTTGCATCTTTAATGAATTACCAGGAGATGCTGATGCTGCTGGTCCGAAGACAAAAATACTTGAGAACCCAAGTGATTCTCCACCTGGGGTGAGTGGACCTGTGAAATCACAATCTCTGGGGAGGGGGCTGCTCTAGACAACCATTCACAGAAATCCTCACACTCTCTGGAACTGTCTATTTGCTCCACTGACTCATCTCTTAAAACTGATAGCCTTGAGATGTCCGGAGTTTTTTCTTTTTCTAGGGAGGCAAATGGCAATATCATATGCATACCATGTAGTCACCCTGGTGGCTCAGATGGTAAAGAATCTGCCTGCAAGGCAGGAGACCTGGGTCTGACCCCTGGGTCAGGAAGATGCCCTGGAGAAGGGAATGGCAACCCACTCCAGGATTCTTGCCTGGAGAATTCCATGGACAGAGGAGCCTGGCTGGCTGCAGTTCTTGGGTTGCAAAAAGTCAAATACAACTGAGCTACAGACACTTTCACTTTCATGTGGCAAACAAAAGGAGTTCAATAATTCTTCATTGGAAAAAAATCTGGAGGGTTGCGGTAAGGGGCAGGATAAGACTGTAGAAACATGATGGCCAGGAACCTATCCTTGAGATTGAGACAAGAGGTCACGTGAAAGGCAAGGCAGACTTCATAAGTGCTTATTGTGTTTTCTTTGAAAATGTCACCGTGGTCTCAAAATATAGGATTGTGGTAATACAGGTAAATTCAATACGCAGTCTGTCCATGTTTCCCAAACCAAGGATCATACAATCAATGACACACAGTCACACAGGTCATACAAATGAGCAGAGTTTGAGTGACAACAGATTCATGAAAGACAGAAATCAAAAGGGCACGTCCCTGTGTAGCATTGGACTACATCACTGTTAAGTGTTAAGTTAGAGTCCCTTAATGTGTTATTTATATACCTTCCTGGGAAAACAGAAAAGCAAAAGTCACGGATGTCTCAAATATTCATTGAGCACCTTTAAATACTTTTTTTGAGTATCTATTCTCTGGCCACCTGATGAGAAGAGCCGACTCACTGGAAAAGACCCTGA